AAAATATATGAACTTCATATATTCATTGTATCTGATTTATCATCACGGGTTTATTACGAATCAACTTAACGGCCTGCTCCCAGTTGGCTTGTTAGCTCAATTGGTAGAGCGCTGCACTAGTATCGCAGAGGTCAGTGGTTCGAATCCCGTACAGGCCTGATTTTTTTCAGGTCTGATTTTCGCTATTGCATAAATAGCGCTCTCTACTGCGAGGATCGTGCATCATACGTATCTACAACCGTAGTTCAAAATATATGAACTTCATATATTCATTGTATCTGATTTATCATCACGGGTTTATTACGAATCAACTTAACGGCCTGCTCCCAGTTGACTTGTTAGCTCAATTGGTAGAGCGCTGCACTAGTATCGCAGAGGTCAGTGGTTAGAATCCCGTACAGGCCTGATTTTTTTCAAGTCTGATTTTCGCTATGGCATAAATAGCGCTCTCTACTGCGAGGATCGTGCATCATACGTATTAACACTTATCATACCCAGTCCTCCGCTTTTGTCGAGATAGTAGAATTTTCCAGACATAAAACTAAATGTGACTTTCTAATGTTTTAAATGTCTGATACTCGAAAGAAATTTTGCTGACTCACTGAGCTTTTAATTAAGAAACTTAACGAAGGCGGAGGTGAGGGGAACGACTAGAAGACACTGTCAAAGGATGATAAATGTTTGAAAAAGCCTTCCGGGAAGAGGCAGACTAAAGGCACCATTGTTCAAAATTTTATTTGCCGGCAAATGAAGCATTTTCATTGAAGGGGGAAAGGCCCAAGACCGGACCAACACTCAGGGTCTTAAAATAACTGAGGAGAATGTGGTACCTTTCTATTATATCAAGAAATGGATAGACATTCTAGTCTTCTCGGATAAGGACGAAAAAAAACCGTAGGTCCCGTCTACTGCATCTTCTCCTTACTGTTTAGCAGGGGACGCTAAAGGACCCACTCACTTATCACAAAAGAGTAGGGAACGTAGCTCCCGGTGTTGGGGTCTGGCTTGTTTACTGAAATTGGGGTTGGGGCCAGTGGGGAAAGGTAATTTACTTAGTAGGGGACTACCTTGTCTGCCTTTGGCAAATTGTTACCTACAAATACAAGTACAAATACAAGATATAAAAAAAAATAAAACAAAAACAAAAAAAAAACATAAATCAAAAATAAAAATAAAATACAAACACGAATACATGGTTAAAATGTCAGCTTTTTGGAACATCCTACCTGCACCTGGGTGTTTTCACCTCATGGTTAAAGAAATTGATTATGCTCCTGCAAAACATTCATGAAGAGCAGGACGAAAAGATAAGAGGGGTTCGAGGGTGAGGGCGGGGGCGGGGCCTGGGGCGGGGTTGACACTGTTACATATTTCTTGCTAAAAGGTCATGATTTCAGTGACTTGACAACCCCTGCTTGGAAAAACTGAGACAGTCCAGCTATATATAATGGATGTTTGCTGTCCTTGACCGTCAATTTTGGCTCCTTGTGCTAATCAAGTTACTGAAGCACTAAAATAGATGGAAAAAATGGAATGGCTCTAACTCAAGGGCTCAGACCTAGAAATTGATCAAAGATCGCTAATCCATGCGTGACTAAACTAAGTTGGATTGGGTGGTTGTCTGTGAAAGCTCTTTGAGGATCATTCTTTGTAAAAATTACAATACCAAAAGCATGACTGGAAAGACTGATCAAATAACATGGAAAAAAATAACTTTGAGACCGATATTTCCATTGGCCAATGGCAGGGTTTATCGTGATTTTTGAGACGAATCGTCAATTAATAGAAATTCATAAAAATTGGCTTCAATTTGAAATTCAAGTTTGCAAGGTTTTACTTGTATCAACTCAAATCATACCCGTGTTTTAAATGGGATGGGTTTGTCTACCTATAACTAAAGTGAACGCTCGCGCAAAGCTGAAGAACTTCGCTGTTACTGCATTCATAACCGAGCTGGTACCAAGCAGGTTATTTATTGTCTCTCGTCCCAGTAAGCCCTTCGGTTCTGCATAATTTATACTTCGTCCGTGTTTTTAATCTGAGCCAGCTCTTTCTTAAACCACAACTAATGGCGGAGCCATTCGTTAAATAACGAACCAAATGAAGTGCTCAGGATCACTCAAGCTTGTTACAAGAGGCATCTTAGGTGAGTCAGAGATTCGATAATATCTCAGAGCTATTGAGAGAAACAGAATTTAATAAAACGTTTCAATCGCAATTGTCACGTTGAGGTCAGTTGCGATCTCGCCTTTGTCAATGTGCCCTTGAATGTCGACAGAAGTATATGTTTTCTCTTCTAAATTGCTCTTGTACAGTGCTAAAGTTAAATTTTTAAATATTCTTGCTGCTATGACAGTGTTTGCCAAAATGAGAAGGCGTTTGGGAGCCGACAATACTGTCAAACTTGTTCCCTTCATTGCAAGGGCGACGCACGCGCGTACATTCGTCTAAGTTGCGTGTTCGTCGCCGGCGTCCGAGGCCTGGAGAAAAAGAACATTGAGTAAAAGGAAAAATGAGATATATAATTTTTTCACAAATTGGTTCATTAATTAGCCTTATTTTCAAAGCTTTTCGTTAAGTACAAAATTGAACACAAACTAAAGAGTACCATACGCCCGCTTCCCTTCACACCACTTAATCAAAATTTGTCCTTTTTATCGAACAACTCCGTGTTCAAACACAACTTTTCAAAATTATATTATTATCTAGAAGAAGCAGCTTCATTTCAATTGCGGTACATCTTCTACACAAAAAATGATATAGAATTTTACACAACAGCTCGCTGGTCAGTTGCAAGCAGGAAA